TAACAATATATATATATATATATATATATATATATATATATAATGAGAATGGCGGTATTAAACATAACAGATAAATTGACGTTAATTACAACTACAAAACTTACAAAAACAGCTTAGATTATTTTGAACATTAAAATGAATGGCAGGATTTAACAAAACATATTTTTACAATAAAAAAGAAGAGCTCAAATGCAACACAGGGACTTCTGTGCAGAGTTTTGAGTTAGTGTTTTAGTTTTGTTGTGTTTTGTTGTGTTGTGTTTTTTATTTAGTTTAATGTTTATTTTCCAGAGTCATCCAAAGAAATCATTTCGATGCTTATACAAATCATACAAATGCTGTAATTTTACTTATTACTCTCTGTTAGTGTTTTCATCCAATATAGCTCTCAGATCTAATTCATGTGAGCGTACATTCAAATATGGTACATTAAAACTCATCACATCAGGTTTCGCATCTTGTGAAAGTCCCTAATACATCTTTATTTGAATCAAAGTTGACAAATTTTGCATTGTTAATCTCTGTAAATGTTGGTATTTGATATAGCACATTCACGTTTGCATACGCACAATTATGGTGCATTAAAACAAGACACATCAGTTTTAAAATATTGTGAACATTTAAAATCTGTTTATTTGAATCAACTTCATTTAATTCATATATGTATTGCGAAACTGCTTTGCTGATGGTGCATTGTGCTATTTAACCATTAACATTTGCTATGCAGTCCATTACTCATTCAAGTATCCTAAAACAGAAAGCTTTCTCATGTCACACATTACGTGTAGCTCAAGTATAGTGCATAAATGGAAAGTGAGGCCCTCAAAGCAAAATTCTGAATGCAGTCTTGTCAGAAGCACACTCACTGAATCACAGCTCATGAATATGGAGCTCTGCATTTGTGAGGTCAAATGGATTTCATTTTGAATCTGTGAAAAATGTTGAGAGCCATTACCATGGAAAGTCAGCAGGAATTCTCTATTGGTTTTAAAATCCGAGCCGCTGTATTCAAAAACTGAAATAAATGTTTCATATTCTTTCATTTACAATACAGAAGCAAAGCAAAGGATCATTTCCCTTTTAGTTTAGAGAGTGCATACTCATGGTCAAGAATTTTTTTTAAAAGACGCTCTCCTTTCTTTTTACTCTTCTTATTTGAACTCTTCTAAAAGCTGGAAGCAAGACTTGTTACTGAAGGTCACTGGACATTTAAACACCTGGCACACAAATGCGCACACGCATGCACACACACTACCTGCGCTTCCCCCCGAGCGTGCCCTTCAGCTTTTGATCAGCAAGACAGATGTAGAAAAGAAATGGTGATCAAAGGCCAACGGTAAAGAGGAGGTTCTTACCTTTTCAGTGCTCACACTGTTAACACTGAACCAGAAGTTTTGTTGTCTCATTTTTGCGTATTATCATTTCTGTCATGACAACTCTCAGAGGGATTGGCATGGTAATGTACATGACAATGTTAATGTATTTGGTCTTGGCAGAATAGATCTGCTACGCTGCTGCTGCTGCGGCAGAGCATGTACCGAGACTTGCTACTGCCAATACATCCACAACATGCTCCTGTAAGCATGTGAGAAATACTGCTGTTGCACATATAACACATATGAATAACCCCCATATAGCATACATGAATCACCCCGTAGCAGATCTATACAGGTGGAGCTGGGGAAGGAGGAGGGTTTCTGAAGTGCGCTGCCAACTGCTACAGCAAACAAAAGCCAGGTTTTTGAATATTGAGCAGCGAGCTCATTGGCTACCAATACAGGAGAGAAGCAATCAGCTGCCATGTGACAATGTCACCAGGTCAGATTGAGCTAGACCTATCGGACTGCGCCATCTAGAGTTTCATGCCAGAACTCTGTATTTCATTAGTAAAGGCTCTAAGACCTTTACTGAAATGACCATAAATTCATTGGATATGGTTGTAACTGTTTTATTAAAAATAAATAAATAAATAGTTTGTTGTAAAATCAGAAATATTTGTACATAACACAAATATCCAAAATATGCATAACATAACATAACATAAAATAACATAACATAACATAGAGTAACATAGCATAGCATAGCATAGCATAACATAACATAACATAACATAACATTTAACAAGTCAGCTAAAACACAGGGAAAAAACTAGTAAAGTAAACTCATTTATTTGTAATATACAGTATATGGAAAACAAAACTTAATCGCTTGCCCCCGAGCGTGCCCTTCAGCTTTTGATCAGCAAGACAGATGTAGAAAAGAAATGGTGATCAAAGGCCAACGGTAAAGAGGAGGTTCTTACCTTTTCAGTGCTCACACTGTTAACACTGAACCAGAAGTTTTGTTGTCTCATTTTTGCGTATTATCATTTCTGTCATGACAACTCTCAGAGGGATTGGCATGGTAATGTACATGACAATGTTAATGTATTTGGTCTTGGCAGAATAGATCTGCTACGCTGCTGCTGCTGCGGCAGAGCATGTACCGAGACTTGCTACTGCCAATACATCCACAACATGCTCCTGTAAGCATGTGAGAAATACTGCTGTTGCACATATAACACATATGAATAACCCCCATATAGCATACATGAATCACCCCGTAGCAGATCTATACAGGTGGAGCTGGGGAAGGAGGAGGGTTTCTGAAGTGCGCTGCCAACTGCTACAGCAAACAAAAGCCAGGTTTTTGAATATTGAGCAGCGAGCTCATTGGCTACCAATACAGGAGAGAAGCAATCAGCTGCCATGTGACAATGTCACCAGGTCAGATTGAGCTAGACCTATCGGACTGCGCCATCTAGAGTTTCATGCCAGAACTCTGTATTTCATTAGTAAAGGCTCTAAGACCTTTACTGAAATGACCATAAATTCATTGGATATGGTTGTAACTGTTTTATTAAAAATAAATAAATAAATAGTTTGTTGTAAAATCAGAAATATTTGTACATAACACAAATATCCAAAATATGCATAACATAACATAACATAACATAACATAACATATAAAATAACATAACATAACATAGAGTAACATAGCATAGCATAGCATAGCATAGCATAACATAACATAACATAACATTTAACAAGTCAGCTAAAACACAGGGAAAAAACTAGTAAAGTAAACTCATTTATTTGTAATATACAGTATATGGAAAACAAAACTTAATAGTAATATTTAAAAATAGTAAGATTAATATTTAAAAAATACACAAAGAATTACTAAATTAAAATGAAAACTGAAAATTAAATTTAAAGCTAATTCAAAATATTGATAGTTGACTAAAATTGCACTGATATGTAGTCATACATATTTTAATTTAGCATTACTTTTTTTCCCAGATTTTTAACAAAAACTGTTTTTGTTTTTGTTTTTGTTAACAATAATAGCACCATGGTTACTACACTTTTACTACAATAAAACCATGGTTAATTTTCATAAGGGTGTCTCTGGACAGGAAAAAAAATCAAATCAAACATGCATATGAGTACAGAGTGTGTCATTTTTGTTGCAACATTTCTATCCATAGCTCAGCTTTTGATGCCGTTTCCCTAGTGTTCTTTCGCTAACATGATAAATCAAAAAGCAGCAGCCCAGCCATCAAACTCAATGATGCTCAATAAAACCATGACCTTAGCGCACATCCTGACTGACGTGCCTTCTGATTAGTCTATTTAAAATCATCTATATTTATAACTCCGAAGGACAGACCAAAGTACAGTTTATTTTTGTGTGGAAAAAAAAAACTAAATAAAATCTTTACTCTCAATTTTCTCTCAATCTTTAGCCTTCAGAGGATAAATTAAGAGAACATTAAATACTCATTAGCACTCGTCTGTTCACCAAATTTCCTTCCTTCCTTCCTCTGTCTCCGCAGGTATAATTGGCGAACCACAGAGTGGAGTGACTGCAGGGTGGACGTGCTCCTCAGCCAACAGGACCGTCGCCGGAGCAACCAGACAGGGCTCTGTGGAGGCGGGGTTCAAACCAGGGAGGTCTACTGTGTTCAAGCCCCCACTGAAACCTCATCTAACCTCAGCTCCCTCAAGAACAAAGACGGTAACAAAACTATCAAATTCAGTGTCTAAACCCTCTGCTTGTGGTTAATGCACTTTCTTGTTCAATGATATGTCCCGAACCCATTCTGATCTCTCTCCCCAATAATTTCCTGTCACATCCTCACCAATTATTTGAGTTTGCTGCAGGTTCCACACGCAATAACGAGCACACAAACACTTTCTATTCAGTGAATATAACTGAATCCAGATGATCTAATACAGTGGTTCTCAAACCTGTCCTGGAGTACCCCCAGCACTGCACATTTTGTATGTCTCCCTCATCTATCACACCTGATTCAACTCATCAGCTCATTAGTGGAGACGGCAAGACCTGAAGTGGGTGTGTCAGATATAGGGAGACATACAAAATGTGCCGTGCTGGAGGTACTTCATGGAGACGTTTGAGAACCACTGATCTAATAGATAAACATTAGGATTTGACGACCGCTCTGTTACAGGGGCACAGGGGCCCAGAACAGGGGCTGCAGTCAACACCATCTTACATTTGTTGTGCATACATATTTTATGCTAGCGTTAAGATTAAAAAAAGTTCATCCATGTGCAATATCAGCTCAAAACTTGCCAAGACCCATATTGTGATGATGGCGCAGTCCCCTGAATTGGAGCCCAGCTTCCAAAATTGTTCCCAGTTGGTGCTGACATCAACAGTAGGGCAGCATATGATTATGGCATATGATGCCAGATTTAAGCATTTCAGTGAATTCATGTAAATATTCTTACATGAATTGACCCTAAATAAATAAATAAAATATTGCAAACAAAGAGCAATTATATACATGTGATCAGTTGCTTAACTCAGGGATTTGTGTCACGGAATGTAGTTTTAAGTTTTAAGAATGTAGTTTTAAGTTGTTAAAACTTCAAATATGTGGTTTGTTCATAAAGATAGCACCTATTTGGAAATGTGCTTTGAGGTTTTCTGAGATGTGAGCTCCAGTTCTGGAATTTTCCGCCGGCTCTGATGTCTCTATAGTGATTAAACGAGCTATGATTCGTCTTAGGTATATCTAACGGGCAGTTTTTGGTCTCATTTATCTATTATTTTTTTCCCAGAGCAAATAGTTTGGGCTGAGGGCAAAGTTTCATAACTTATGTATTTTTTATATTTTTAATGATATATCAGAGCGCTGTCTTTGTACTTTTGACTGAATTGCTTAGGAGCTTTTATAATGGCTATTGTTGTTTATTAAATGTTATTGTTCAATCAATAATGTTTTACAGTAGTACATTAGTAATGTACAAAGTACATTTAGTATTTAGTTGTTGTTGTTATTGTTATTGTTGACAAAACGCTCTCTGTGTTAGTGATGGTGATTTTGACATGTGGCCTAGTGCCTATGGTCGAATCACAGCCATGCTGATATAGATCCCTACTGCACGGCTACTTGTATGATATTTGAAAAGTTTGTGTGACTAACATGCTTGATGCAAAGTTATATTTAGTAAAATTACCTTTTTGTCTCCAGTCACCTCTGCGCCAGTGCAGACTTAGAGGCACACTGCGAGCTTTTAGACAAAGATCAGTTGATGTTTGTACTGTGGTACACAGCTCAAGCCAACATATAATTGGATTGTTTTTTAAAGGCTGAAATTAGATCACCAGGGGGAAATTAAGGAATAAAGAAGGCAAAGCTGTACAAATTAATGAGGCAGCTACTGTGGAATTTAAATGCTAATGCCGTCACAGACATACACACAGGTGCACATACACCCAAACACAAATTCTCTCTGGAGTAATACGACAGAAACAGGGAGGTGCCAGTGCCTCATGCCATGTGCTGAGGCTGGTGCCGGGCCTGTGTTCACTCTCGGACTGACACAGTAACTCCCCTGCCATCTGCTCTGAGAGCTGGACCGCCGACCTCTCAGGGAACTTATTCAAATGTCCACAGATGTCCTCAAGCAGTCATTGCCTGGTATGGCTTGGTCACACTACAGACAGAAAGACAAAGCATACTGAAAGCAGCTTGCCTTTTGAAATGAGACCACTTTAAATAGGCTAAAACTCACAATGGTGTATTTAACAGCTACTGTAAACCATGATTTTACTTGAAAAAAGCCTATGCTGATCTGCTAACGTTGTCTATTGAGGATTATGTCTTTCAGCTGATCAACATAGGCATAGGCATCTTGTAGTCAGTGTAGTCCATTTTTGTTGCCAGTATGCTGATATTTTCTACATAACACCAAGATCATTGTGAGCAGATCAAGTTCCAGAACAAAAACCATGCATCACTGTTGAGCACAGTTGATAGTTTGCCTTTTGCAGTTCGTAGTTTGCCTTAACGTATCTTTTAAAATGTTTTTCATCGAACAAATCTGTAATGCATGGACTGATGCATGTGTAAATAAATAATGTAAAATTTTCGTTTTTGCAACATATTATCTGGAATCGCTTTGAAATTGGTTTGAGATTGTCGTACCTGGGTATTTTATTTAATTGTTTCACATATAGCCTACGCTATCGTTCTAAAGTTTGGTGTTGGAAAGATTTTTACAATTTTTTTTTTTTGTCTCTTATGCTCACCAAGGCTGCATTTATTTGATTAAAAATACAGTAAAAACAGTAATATTGTGAAATATTATTACCATTTAAAAACCGTTTACTATTTGAATATATTTTACAATGTCATTTATTCCTGCAGTGGCAAAGCTGAATATTCAGCAGCCATTACTCCAGTCTTCAGTGTCACATGATTCAGAAATCATTCTAATATGCTGATTTTATGCTCAAGAAACATTTCTTATTATCAGTGTTGAGTAGTTGCTGCTTAATATTTTTTGTGGAAACCAGGATACATTTTATTTTATTTTCAGAACAGCATCAAATTATTTTGTAAGAATGTAGAAATCTTTACTGTCATTATTGATAAATTTAATACATCCTTACTGAATAAAAGTATTAATAAAAAATAAAAAAAACTGGTAGTTTGTACATTAGAGAAATGGTGTAATCCATCACCTTGAAAATATTTAGTGAGACAACCACAATACACCCAAAAAGTGCACATGCAATTCATTACATTGCACAAGCAAGTTTGTATCTTTTTTGATGTGCATCTTGGTGAATCAGGACCTTAGTGTCCAGCCTCCTGTCTGTGATGAAGTTTTGCCAGACAGTGTTGGAATCCCATCCGTAATGTAGCCTTAAGAGAAGCACATGGCGCTGACTGCAGCTTCCTGCTGGGGGATGTGACAGGCCTGGCACGCTGATGAGTCACACGGTGACAGATGGAAGAACTGTGAGATAAAGAAAAGGAACAGTGCAAGAACACCTGCACACTTTCACACACACGTTCTGCCTATTTCACACACGCACAAACACACACATACACCCCTAAGGCTTTTTCACACCTTGTCCAGCTCTTTCTAATGCTCTTTTTTGCATACTGTTTTCTTTCTCTCTCCTTTGGTTTTCTTTGTTTTACCCATCATCCTTCTCAGCAAATATTGTTATATGTTATTAATTGCAATTAATTTTATTAATTAATCTGTGTATCATGTAATTAATTCAGTTAATTTTTTTAATTGATTTTCAGCCCTACTTTTTTTCCTCATTTACCTTGTTCCCTTTTAATCAATGAAGAATCAATCAGGCACTTTTCCCCTCAGGGAGTTTCAGACAGATTTGAGAGGATTTAATTTCAAGCTCCACATGATTGGACATTTCCAAGTGATTTGCCTCTGGGCCTTTGGAATTATTCACAGGTATTTATATACATTAATGCCAGACAATGAGAGCATCAGGAGCGGTGGTTTACTCAAGGACAGACACCGTGTGCTTTAAGCAGATTTAATCTGGTCATTCAGTTCCAGGGATCATAGCTAAATCCTCTGTAGAAACTGGACAACTATGTTTGTCTGCACTCTGGCTATTTCAGTACAATGTGTGATGCCAGTACATATGAAACTTTCATACTTGAGGCATGTCCCACAACTTTACCTTCCATTAGTTTTTTTTAAAGCAGCAACAAAGCCACTTTTATATTAACTATCTATCACACATTTGATTGTCATTATCAAATCTCACGGTATCTTCTAATTCCCTTTAAAGGGATAGTTCACCCCAAAACTAAAATTTCGTCATCATGTTGTTCCAAACCTGAGTTTCTTTTTACTGTTGAACACAAAAGAAGATATTTTGACGAATGTTGGTAACCAAACAGTTGACGATAGCCATTGACATACACAGTATTTTTTTTTCTCCCTTCTATGGAAGCCAATGGCTGCCAGCAACTGTTGTGTTCAGCAGAAGAAAGCAACTCATACAGGTGTGTAACACAGTGTGGCTGAGTAAATGTTGACAGAATTTTCATTTTTGGATGAACTATCCCTTTCATTTGTATACAGGTGCATCCCAATAAATTAGAATGTCGTGGAAAAGTTCATTTATTTCAGTAATTCAACTCAAATTGTGAAACTCGTGTATTAATTTGAGTTGAATTACTGAAATAAGTGAACTTTTCCACGACATTCTGCATTTTAAGACAGAAATAAAAATCGGCATCTTTTAAGAAAGCATTACTTTTTTGTTTTCAACTCCATCACACATTTTTAGAGATGTTATTTTAAACATTTAAGATAATTTCCTTTATTTAAAGTGGGTCTAACAGTATGAAACTTGAAATTAAACTGTTTGAAACTGTAGTCTTGCATAAACATTAGATTTGTTGTAATAATAGTGAATATTTCACTTTTGTGTGTGTGTATGTCTGACGATGTTTACTCATATTAAATGAAACTCAAGCAAGTGGAAATGGATAGGTGAACAAACATAGGTGAATATCTCTGGATTTACATTAATCCCTCCTAAACAGTTTGTGTTCTGTTTTGCCAGTAGTGAAGAATCAGTGAAATATATTGTTTCCACGAATATGAAAACTTTGTTTGCATTCCAAATTCATTTTCAATCATTGTGGGATTATGGATTCCTAAACCCATGTAATGAATGCCAGAATGGCACTGAACAAAAAAATATGCATTTTACATATCAAAAGCAGCTTGTTGTCTTCCTCTCTGCCAATGCCGCTTCCCATCCGACTTCCTGCTCTGCTATTTGGGCCTGGGGAAGCTGTGCTTGATTTCCTCTCCCCACGGGTGGCTTCAGACATTTAGACGAGAGGGGAAAGCAGCTGCTGTTGCGATCTTTATCCATTAACACATCTCAGTCACAGAGAGCAGAACACAACAACAGTGTTCATTCGTTTCGGCTTGGCTGTGTCGCTCTCCGGATTATAATCAATGTTGCACCCCGTCGTGGATCTTTGTGAGATGTTCAATGCAGTGGCTTTGTTACAGAGCATCCGTGCAGCACCGCCCCGCAGGCAGGCCCGAGTTATTGATGATGATGATGATGGTGATGCAAGCAGGTGAATGTGTTGCCGGCTGTCAGACGGACAGAGGGACTGATGGGATTCTGGTGCCATAATTAGGCCGGGGAAACCCTGGGTGGGCAAACAGCAGACCATCTGGCCTCCAAGCGAGTGTTGTGCCACCTGAATAAGGTCAACCTACAAGGAGAGGGTCATTAATCAGACTTGGTTAACAGGGCAACAAAACGTGAGCCGCTGAGACAGGAAGCCCACCTCAATACCTTAAAAGCACAGCCAACTCCTAATAAGAAATACAGAGTGCATGGAGACAAGTCTGTTTGTGGGAATAAGGGAACTTGCATTTGCAAGTCAATTTGACATTTTTTGCAAATCAATTTTGTCAATTTGACAGCTATTTTTTTTTTTTTGACATGTCACTTTTGGAAGTAAATTCAATTTTACTATATTTTTAATTAAATGCAGCCTTTGTGAACATAAGAGAGTTCTTTCAAAAACAAAATCTTCTGAAACTTTTTATCTGAAATAATTTTGGACTTATTGTTAGAAAATTATATGCGTAAATGAACTTTATATTCTTGTTCCATTTGCGGTACATCTATTCTTATAGGGACTGTAACAAAGTGTGTCTGTTTCCTCAGCCTTGCGGCCAGTGAACAGTGACCTGTGTCTGGGCGTTTCTCCTAACACCACCCAGCTCTGCCATATTCCCTGTCCTGTGGAGTGTGATGTGTCCTCCTGGAGCGCATGGGGGCCCTGCACCTTTGAAAACTGCCAGGATCAGTCCACAAAGAAAGGTAAGCTTAAACTATATGACCAGTCATCTTTTACTGTTGTGTTTGGGGAGCGGTCGTTTCCCCCATCTCGCTAAAACAGAGCGGATCAATAAAACGTACTCTTTCATTGTAAATCACATGAATTGTGTACGGGAAGCCTTTCAACACATAACTCACACCGGCCCACCTCTCACCTCTGTCTGCTCCATCAGCATCCGGGCCATAAACTTATCAGCGCCTACTGGGGCAGAAGATTCATTTTCTCAAAGGTTTTATGAACCAGGACCATTGTAGAGGGAACAACAAACAAAAGGGACCCACAGAAAAATAAAACATGTCACGAAAGAGACAAAAGACAAATCATGGGTTAGATGGCTTCAACGAGACAAACACAAGTTTCAAATGGTCTCTGGAAGGAACCGAATCTGCTGGATTCACAGGATGGTGGCTTACCGAATGCTGCTGACAGTTGGTATAGTGTATCAAAGGTGCTGGCACGGTGGCTGCATTTCTCGTTAATTATGGCTGGGACAGCGACCCGTGCCATTACTAATGCATATTGACTCTTCCCTAATGAAGCGACTCAAAAGGAGCGCATGGAGACAAGTCTGTTTGTGGGAATAAGGGAACTTGCATTTGCAAGTCAATTTGACATTTTTTGCAAATCAATTTTGTCAATTTGACAGCTATTTTTTTTTTTTTGACATGTCACTTTTGGAAGTAAATTCAGCTTGTTAAATTGAGCGTTCCGGTGGGTGTTTGTCCCAGAGGAGCACTTCACCAAAAAAACTTTTAATTTCTGTTTTAAACAAGCTCATATAAATCATTAATGACTCTGGTCATGCAATCAATCACTTAGATCGCACTGAAAATCTACACACACACAAAACACATGTATTAACGGAATGATTTTAGAAATGGCTCAAAGCGCACAGAAAACACCTTTTGGACACGAAGCAATTTGCATGTGAATGAAGAGAAGATCCGTCAAAGGGTATCGGCAGCAGATCTGTTCACGCACTGACCTTGCAGAAAGTCACCTACGGCTCGGAGCTGCACGCACACTTGCACTGAGTGCTGGTTACAGATAAAAAGAAAACAAGGACAAAAGGGGTCTTGGGAGATGTCTAGCAAAACATGTGCAATCAGAAGTGCTTGTTTATGAGAATGACGTTGATCATGTCATTTTATCTCATGTTCAAATTTTAAACATATTGAAATGCTTCACATTACCTTTTTAGGTACTTTTTGGTACACGTGTGGGCAATATAAATTTGAGTCCGACTCACATCATCTCCAGCCCCCATTCCCCCATCATTTTTTTTTTTTTACATTATATTTATAATGTATATAAAAAATACTACTCAAAATAGTATTCAGTATGCACACTTTTCAGCAGTTTGGGGTCAGAGTTTTTCTTTTTTTTCTTTTCTTTTTTTTTTTTTAGAAATGTAGAAATTAGTTTCTTATTTGCTCCATACTTTTGTCATTATTATTATAATTATTATTATTATTATTAAATATTTCTATTTAGCCTTATTTTTTGATTTAGTAATTTTAGTACTTCAAGGCAACATGTCTAATTTTTTATTTTTATAAAATAAATTTTACAAAATAGTTTATATAATAATTTTTAATCTAATATTTATATTTTATTTGATCTTTATTTGAGTTAATGAATAGTTTAAGGGTCTTTGTTTCTTTGTTTGTTTGTTTTGTATAATGACCTGTTATTGCATGATATAGCCTATTTGAAATTATGTGAATGTGAAAGCTTGTTGAATTTGCAATAAAGAGAAAAAGTAATTTGAACAGATATATTTACTAATCAATTACTTTTTTGGATGACTGTTTGATTATTTTACATGATTCAACTTTAACTGCACTCTTTACTCCCACCGATTAACTCAACCAACTAAATCAGTGACACAAATAACTTTGAGTCTCATCTGTGTTCTTTGGCAGGTTTCAAACTGAGGAAAAGGAAAATTATGAATGAGCCCACAGGTGGCACAGGAAATTTGATCAAAAGTGACAGTAAAGACATGTATAATTTTATTTAATGTTAACTAATATATTGAAATGCTTCACATTACCTTTTAAGGTACTGAGACGGCACCAATTCCACCATCGTTTTTAATACATTTAAAATTAAAACAAACAAACAAAACTACTAAAAAAAATATTTAATATATACACTATTCCATTTTTAAAAGAAATGAATACTTTTATTCAGCAATGACACATGAAATTGATCAGTGACAGTAAGGACATTTATAATATTATAAAAGATTATTTCTGAGAACCCTGAGGAAACTAAATCACCATATTGGAATCATTTCTAAAGAATCAGTGGAACATTTAAAATATAATACAGGATGTGAAATGCCTGAATGAATTCACATTCCTATCAAAGAGCGCTGCAGAGGTTTTGCATAGACTCGCCGTAACATATGCTTGCTTCCTGTCTTTCGTACAACGTTCACTTTCCTACTGAACAAAGAACCAATGAAAGCTAGTAAAGTTGATCTGGGATCAGTTTTTCTAATCTAATATTTATATTTTATTTGATCTTTATTTGAGTTAATGAATAGTTTAAGGGTCTTTGTTTCTTTGTTTGTTTGTTTTGTATAATGACCTGTTATTGCATGATATAGCCTATTTGAAATTATGTGAATGTGAAAGCTTGTTGAATTTGCAATAAAGAGAAAAAGTAATTTGAACAGATATATTTACTAATCAATTACTTTTTTGGATGACTGTTTGATTATTTTACATGATTCAACTTTAACTGCACTCTTTACTCCCACCGATTAACTCAACCAACTAAATCAGTGACACAAATAACTTTGAGTCTCATCTGTGTTCTTTGGCAGGTTTCAAACTGAGGAAAAGGAAAATTATGAATGAGCCCACAGGTGGCACAGGAAATTGCCCCCACCTGACGGAGGCAATTCCCTGTGAGGAGCCCAGTTGCTATGAATGGCTGCTGGTGAAGCTGGAGGAATGTGTGCCTGACAATGACAAAGCATGTGGACCGGGAACCCAGAACCCACAAGTACAGTGCGTCAACAGTGATGGTAAGTGATACGTACACCTTCCATCTGCATGATATGGGACTGTCCATTCATTCCATTCATAAACATTCAAGCTAATTAAAAATCTTTGCCTGAATAGACTTTCTATTTAAGGGTCGTATCCAGGCCTGCAGTGTGTCGAGTGCAGCAAGAAACTCATATTGTTTTGTTCTTGTACAGCTGGGTCCATTCTTGAACTCTGTCCGTAGGGCTTATGTTCTGGACTCATGCCCAATGCCATAATTGCTGTTTTTGCACAGGCGGCTGGTAGTACTTCTCTATTGTTAGATTGGCCAGAGGGGAAATTCAGAGCAATACGAAGTGGCAATGCTGCCTTTTAGTCTTCTAAACACAAAGCCACATGTGCTGGGGCGGTCTACCATCTAACTAGCCCAAAGGTCCAAAACTCTCCAATAGCGTCTGGGTGTTATTGGCTTGACTGAGTACACGGTAGCTAGGGAAACCAACACCAGCACCATCTGCACCAGCTGTGAGATCAGAGAAAAATGGGGACAAGCACATGCCTGGATCTGTGACCAATGGCTGATACTAATGCCTCAATATACTGATTAAGAGGAGACCCGGGATGCCTGCTACACTTCTGTAACTCAGAGTTTTTGTGGTAGGTTGTAACTTGTTTCACTATCAGAAAACATGGACATCCATCTAAATTTGGCATTTTGTTGGTAAAATTATTTTCATTCCAACCCCCAGAAATGATTTTACAAATCGGTAATTTATTGAACAAATACAATTTTATTCATCAAGAACATATTATATTGATCAAAAATCACAATAAACATAATTATGATGTTACAAAAGATTTCTATTTCAAATAAATACTTTTCTTTTAAACTTTCTATTCATCAAAGTATCCTGAAAAAAATCCCAGTTTCCACAAAAATATATTAAAATATATCAAAATAGAAAACAGTCATTTTAAATTGTAATAATATTTCACAATAGTGCTGTTTTTGATATACATCTATTTTTGATCAAATAAATGCAGTCTTGGTGAGCATAAGACTTCTTTCAAAAACGTCAAAAAATCTTGCCGATCCCAAACTCTTAATGGTAACATACATACAAACAAAGAAGAACATGAAACACAAATTACTTAATATTGCTTAAGCTCTTCAGTGGATTTCGAGTTATTACATTGTTTACTCTTACTGTTTGAGAAGCTTTTGTCAAAAGCCACTTTTATATCTAATTATGTAGGGCTGGAAAATCTCCCATCTGTCTTGGTTTTGATTTATATCATTCATACAGCCTAAAACGCCATAGATATTTGAGAAAAGAAATGACCCAGATATGTTGTACTAACAGTTTTTAATGGGATTTTATGGATGAACACTTCGCTCTGGTTGATGAGGGAGTGAAATTCAGTGCCACAAACATGCAATTCCGATTCATCCGATCTAATTTCATATAATAGAGACTAGAGCATAGCTGAGTGAATATTTTAACAAAGTGGAAATCCTGTCTCCAACGTGTGGAAGTGAAATAGGTTAATTCAGCGAGCTTATCAAAAATAATTAACCTTAAATTATTGTGGATATGAGGGACAAGTAGAATATTCCGTTTTTTAAAATAGAACCACCAACTCTGTGACTTCTTTTTCTTTGCCTTCCGTATTGTTAATGTCTTGTCTGAAGTTGCGGCTCGACTCGGCTTGCATTAATGAATCAATTATGAGCGCACACCGTAATTGTATTTTACATCCTCACATTTCGCTCCTTGTTCCAGTAAATTTCAGTGTGCAGACATGGCAATTACTGCGACATTCCTGAACCTCAGCATTCACATCGCTAATGAGGACTCGGGGGAGAGAGAAAGGTGGAGAGTAAGGACAGAAAGAGAGAGGCAGAGAAAGGCTCCTGTGTGTGTATGTGTGTCTGTGTGCAACTCAATCAGTTTTGCAAGGCTCATAATCAAGCATTCCATTCACACCAACTGAAGGTGTCATACTGCATGTGCCTCAGCTGTCACCACAGAGACGACTGCCACCTCCCCCCGACCCTCCAACCAACCTCATCTCCCAGACAGTTACCCTGAAACACCTTCCTTAACATGCCACGTGTAACAACTGTACTTTATATTGCACACAGATTCTATAGCTTTAGCAGCCATGCATTAAACAGTTTGATGACCATTTAATTAAATAAAGGAACTGATCACCCTGTATTAACCCTAAAATGCATAGCTCAATTTTCTCCTCTTGAATAATACGTATATGTGGGTCAAAATGGTCCGGGATAAAATATGATGCATGCATGCTATAGCACTGCTTGTTTTGTCATTGAAATGGTAATTTAATGATTTAGGTCAGATTTTGCCTGGGGAACAAAATGCCTTAATTAACATACTAAATATGTCGTTTCAAACCTGTATGACTCTCTCTCTTCTGTGGAACACAAAAGAATATATTTTAAAGGATGTTTTTACTTGTTTTGTCTATACAGTGAAAGTCAGTGGAGTCCAAAACAACATCTGACCCCATTGACTTTCGATGTACAAATTTTTTTTTTAAATATTGTGTTTCGGGAAAAGAAAATTAGTTATAAAGTATTGGCAAAAAAAAGGAAGGTGTAACAATACTGGGTAAATCACAAAGACATACTTTTGTTCCTTTTTTACATTTTGTAAATACAGTATATACTATGAACTTTCCCTTTTATAGATCATGTGGTCTGACAGTTTTCATATTATTTGTCCATATATGAATATATGAAAACATATATCCAAAAACTGAAAGGAACACTGGCCATTACTCTGTTCCTCCCTGCAACACATTGACCCATTTAAGTCCAGATACCTTGCTGTAGTGAGGAATAATAATATGATTTGTTCAAGGTCACCTCTTTCTTTGTCCTGCCTTGCAGACGGGTAGATGGTGAATATGTTGTTCTGGCACCAGTGGCGAGTTGCCTATATAAATGAAATTAACTCTGTTAGTCCCTCAGAGTCAGTCTGCATTTAGCTGAACTCCCTCTCTCCCTCATTAACTTTGGGAAGAGTAGTGTGCAGCCTCATCAGAATGTGACAGTGCTCAATAGAGGAAATGTCAGATGCCGTCTGGTACTTTTCCATCAGGGGACAGTCAG